CTTCCTCAGGCCACTGGGCCTATTCTGTCTGTCGGTTGCAGGTCTGGCCTGTTCTGTTGGTGGTCACAGTTCCGTCTACCTTGCAGGCGCGGGGGGAGGGGGCGGCTCTGCCTCTCAGCAGGCCGCTGCTCCCCTTCTGCCGGTTGGTCGCATGCCCGCCTACCTTGCAGGAGTGATTGGAAGCTCTGCCCCTCCGCGGGCCACTGGGCCTTTTCTGTCGGTGGTCACAGTTCCGCCTACCTGGCAGGCGCGGGGGGTGGGGGGCGGCTCTGCCCCTCAGCAGGCCGCTGGGCCTGCTCTGTGGGTGGTCACAGTTCCGTCTACCTTGCCGGGGCAGGGGGAGGGGGGTTATATTCTTAATTAGAAAACAACAGCTGCTTTCTCCAGGGTGAGGCAAGGGATTCAGGCTGTTCAAATCCATGGATGCTTTGTAAGCAGGTTATCTAGTATAATGTTATTGTCTGAATCTGGAATTTCCCCAACAGCTCACGTGTTGAAGGCTTGATCCCCAGCTTGTTTGTGCACTTTTGTGCTTAATCACTCACTACCCCCTCCCATCTCTCTCTCCTCTCATTGAGCCAAAATAAATCTTTTCTCTTTAAGATGATTTCCTCAGGTATTTTGACACAGCAAGGCAAAGCTGATAAACACAGCTTACACTGCATTCTGTGGCATACGGTCTTTTCCAAAGGCGGCCATACCAATATTCCCTACCCCACATTCTTTTCTCACAACATGACCAGGCAGTCTTCCAACATTAAAACTATGTTCTGTCCCCCTTGAATCTGGGCAGACTTGTGATTTCCAAGGCTAGTCATAAGAGGAAACTTAGCTTCAGCATGGTTCAGACGTGCTTATGTGCTTCCCTCCCTCCCTATGCCTCTCAGTATACACACCTTGGGAGACCTAAGCCATAGGTAAGAAATTTGGATACCCTGAAGCCACTAAACTGGAAAGATCATATGGAGAGGCTACAAAGGGATTCAGATTCACCAAGATGTTTGTGTCTTCCTATAGATTCCAAACAAGTGAGTGAACAAGTCTTCAAGATGACTCCAGATCCTATGACTGGTTTAAAAAAAAAAAAATTAAGGTGGTATATACATATAATACAATATTACTGAATCTTTAAAAAGAAGAAAATCCTACCATTTGTGACTACGTGAAAATGAACCTGGAGAACAGACAAACACTATATGATATCACTTATATGAGAAATCTAAAATAGTCAAACTCACAGAAGCAGTAAGAATAGTAGCTGCCAGAAGTTGTGGGGAGAAAGAAACATAGAGGTATTACTCAAAGGGTACAAAGTTTCAGTTATGTAAGATAAATAAGTGTTAGAGAAATACTGTACAGCATAATGCTTATAGTTTACCATAGTGTATTACATACCAAAAACTTCACTAAAGGGGATAGATTTTATGTTACGTTGAATCAACTAGCAGATTAGCACTGGAACTATTAATTGCAAAAGAAAGAAGAAACTTTTGGAGGGGATGTTTATAGCACAGAATGTAATGATGGTTTCCATGGGTGTATACTTATCTCCAATTTCATCAAGTGGTATCATCTATACGATTTTTGTATGTTAATCATACCTTAATAAATTGATTTTTAAAAGAAATGTACTTTGGATAATGATGTCCATCACATTCCACCATCATTGCTAAACCCCTGCCCTCTCCCTTCCCCGCCCACACCTCTGCCCTATCTCGAGTTCTTCACTTTTTCTTAATGATTAACTGATCTAAATTAAGTTGTATGCATTTAAAAATATGTAATAAAAAAATTCTAATTATAACATCCAATTTTTTAAAAAGCAAATTCCTACCCCCCCAAAAAAAAACCCAAATACTTATGAGTCTTTTGCAACAATATGATCTCTTCTTAGACATTTTATTTTACTTGTTTTTATATCCCATTGCATTTATTTCATTTGAGGTGTTAGGAATTGAACCCTGGGCCTTGTGCTAAGCACAGATTCTACCACTGAACTACATCCCTGGTCCTTAGACACATTCCAGTCATGGTTTCTACTATAATTCAATCAACGAAGATTTTAAGCTATCAATGATCCTACAAAACTTAAAATTCCAATACAACAATTAGCACAGCTTATAATTCAAAATACTAAAAATAGCTCAAAAACAATGAAAGAATTCATTGAGATTTGCATATAATGAAATATGATGTAGTCATTTAAAATGTTTACCACTAGTTGGGTGTGGAGGTGCAGGCCTATAATCTTAGCAGCTCTGAGGCTGAGGCAGTATTCTAAATTCAAAACCATCTCAGCAACTTAGCAAGGACCTAAGCAACTTAGTGAGAACTGTTTCAAGATTAAAAGTATCAAAACAGGGCTGGAGATGCGCCTGAGTGGCTAAGCACCCCAGTACCCAGTACCCAAAAAAACAAAAACAAAAAACAAAAAATGTTTACCACTATTTCCCTAGTACTGAGCATAATTTATCCAATACATTTTAACTACCCAATAAATACTAAGCAATATTTTAAATAAGTTTGATTTTAGAAAAATTATGCCCTCGATGCAGTTAAATAGAAAAAGTAGATTAAATGCAGTATTGGGTGGTGTTCTAATTTTAATATTTATTTACTATAGACAGATAGACAGATGAACTAGAATTCCAAGGTATTAATTCTAGTTGTATCTGAGTAGTCTTTTTGTTAAATTGAATTTTCTAATAAAATCTATAAAAAAACAAGTATTGACTAATAAAAAAGAAAAAACAAGTTTTGTCTTAAAAATAATTTTAAATTCTTAAAAACTCAAAATGTATCAGTGTCTTATCTCTGTATTCACGAAAGTTCTTATCCTTTCAGTAAGTTATTTCTACTAATGGTCTTAGGAGGTAATATAAACTACTACCAAGAATTTAGTATGCTAGTTTATAAGGAATTCTAAATTTTTTACATGTACTGGTATGACGTTATAGGTATACTATGGTTGAACAAATGAAATATTTTATTCTTCAATAAAAACAACCAAGGCTCCTTGGGAAATCTGCTAATTCCAAGGCTGGGTAGGGAAAATACAAGATAAGCTTGTAGTGCCAAAAAGTAAGGAAAGGTACCACCCCTGCTACCCCTAGGAGCTTGTCAAAAGGGCATTAGAACCAACATGAAATTCAATATTATTTTTTTTTCTTTTTAAGACATAAGGTGTCTATGTGTAGGCTCAAGCAATCCTCCCAGCAGCTGGGACTACAGGTGCACACTACTGCACCTGGCTTCAATATTATGAAATGTTAACAGTAGAACGTCAAGTGAATTGCATGAATGACATAATACCCTAAAGCAGAGCACTTTGTTGCAAATATTAAAAATAGCATGAAATGGACATCATTACCTTAGGTACATATATGATTGCATGAATGGTGTGACCCTACTTTATGTACAACCAGAGAAATGAAAAAGTGTGTTCTATTGTGTACAATGAATCAAAGAGCAATCTGCTGTAATGTATAACTGATTAGAATAAATAAATTTAAAAATTTTGTTTAAATAGCAGTGGTCAACATAGAGGTATTTTAAAACTGGGTGCTATAGCCTACATGTGATTTGTCCCCACCAAAATTCAAGTTGAAATTGGATTACCAATATAAAGGTGTTAGGAAGCAGGACTTTTAAGTGCTAATTAGGTCATGGGACCTTCACCCTTATGAAAAGATTAATCTCTTTATCAAGAGACTGTGTTAGTTAAGGCTAGCCATAAAGACTAAAAAAATTACAAGTTGGTTGGTTTTCAAGAAAGCAGGTTGTTAACAAAGTGAGACTGGTACTTCCCCTGAGTCTTTCATATACATGCCTCTTTTCAGTCCACTTACTCTGCTTTCTGCTGTGAGCTATTATACAAGGCCCTCACCAGAAGTTCAGCAGGTACCCATGACTTCCCAGCTTCCAGAACCATGAATCAAAAAACATAGTATTTTTAAATAAATGGCCAGTCTTATGTATTATTTTACAGTATCAGAAAACAAAATGAGATACTGGATATGACAGTAGTTTTCACAGCAATGTAAAATTTTCTTTTCTACTTTCCTCATTCACTGTACTTGAGCTAAATCCAAAATTTTAAATGGAGAAACAACCATGGGGCTGGGGTTGTGGCTCAGTGGTAGAGCACTTGCCTCGAATGTGCGAGACCCTGGGTTTGATCCTCAGAGCCACATAATAAAAAATAAGTGAAATAAAGGTATTGTGTCCAACTACAACTAAAAAATAAATATTTTTTAAAAATAATAAATAAATAAAAATAAATGGAGAAACCACACCCTGCAAATCTTAAGCCAAAGAAGACTAGCAAAGATATTCTACGTGGTCTACTAAGGTCCTCTTAATTCCCTCTCATTAACCCATGATACTCCTTTATGATTTCTACAATCGTTGTTAAATGTACAACTGTAAAAACATAAAAATGTTTCAAATTAAAGATCTCCATACATAAATGCTTCTGAGAAAAGTATCTAATAAATCATTATAATGTACATCAGGTATCACTGCATTTAAGCACAAAATTCTAGAGAAAAAGATTATCATTCTTTATAGGGATGCATTTTAAAAAAAAAAAACAACACTCAACATAGGCAGAAACTTCATTTTGCTTGTTTTGTAAGAAGAAATGAATAGAAAAAAAAGAGGTTTAAAAGAACAGATTCCAAAAAATAATTTTCAGCATATGCCATGAACACAGCTCTTCTACATCTACATTATTAATGAATGAACACAAAGCATGCTAATACATTCAGTCATCAATGAAATGCTGACTTATGTTTTATATAAAATTCAAAATATAAACCAAAATGTATACCAGTCATCTTGTAATGGATTTTTAAAAGCTGCTCAGTTATTCAGAACATCATTTTCCTCAAAATACTGCTCAAAGTTTTACCATATTTAAAAATTTTATTTTTTAAAAAAATTGCAAAACACTTTCAATTTCAGCAATTGTATTGGTTACAAGCAAAACTAATGCATACCTCATGTAAATCAGAAGATGTAGACTTTTTTCTTTTTCCTTCTGTGACAATCTCTACAAAAAATAAAAAACATTGTAGAAATTATTATTTTTTAAACTTTTTTTTTATTTTAATTTTTAGTTGTATTTTAGACACAATACCTTGATTTTTTAAAATTTATTGTTATGTGGTGCTGAGGATCAAACCCAGGGCCTTGCACGTGCTAGGCAAGTGCTCTACCACTGAGCCACAACCCCATCCCAGAAATTATTATTTGATATGAAAAAGATTTTTTAAAATAGTGGAAGAGATCCTTTTACATCTATTCCTTATTCCAAATTAACTTCTCATTAGGTTCAGAATTTATACTGATATATTTTACTGAAGCTGAAGGGCTAGCCATAAAGACTAAAAAAATTACAAGTTTTAAAAGAGTAGCAGTTTCTCAAAAAAAATTCCTCCAGTAAACAATATATGTATGGTGACAAAAGAAATTGACCAAGAATTAAACAGGAATTTCCTCGCAAAAGACCTCATGCCCTGTAATAGAATTATCTAACTAAACTAATTTTTATGAAGGGGGTGGATATTTAGAAGCTGGCAATATTCTACAAAAACAATTTCAATTCTACTATATATCTAAACATGCTGTGTAACTCGGAACACTTTTTAATTCTTTATTTAAAAATATTTCTCAGACTTCCTATGGATTTCTCTCTTAAAAATTCTTTCATTCAATCAGCAAATATATACTGAATGTCAATCATGTGTCATTGGACTAGGTAGTGAGTATAGTGTAGCGAGCCAATTAAACACAATCCAAGATGTCTTAGAAATTACAGTCTACTGGAATATAGCATATTTCAAAATTAAAATAAATGGCAGAGATCCACATCTAAGTAGTCATCTTACTGTAATTACTGCATCTTACTGCAATTCAGTAGGAAAGGAATAATTTTTTTCAATAAATGATACTGAAACAATTCAGTAACCAAATGAGGGAGACAACTTTGACACCTATCTGACACCTATCTAAAAATTAATGTGAAGTGGATCACACATTTAAATATAAAACATAAAATAATGCTTCTAGTATTAAAAAATAAAGTATCTTCATGACCTTGGGGGTATACAAAGATTTCTCAAACAGGACACAAGCATTACTAACCATAATGAAAAAATAAATAAACTAAGAGTTTCATTAAAATTAAGAATTTATGTTCATCAAACTTCATTATTAAGAGAGTGAAAGGCAGAGGCTGGGGTTGTGGCTAAGTGGTAGAGCACTTGCCTAGTATGTGTAAGGCACTAGGTTCAATCCTCAGTACCACCTCAGTTTCTCATCTGCAAAACATGATATTCATCTTTCGACTTGTTAAATGATAGTCTATATTAAAATATTTTGCATTTTACCTATAATTAGTACAAAATTAGTGGTATCTATTACTAAAATAGTTTACATTAAAATTGCTCTCAGTATATTAGCATTAGCACCCAAGAAAGTCTAATTATTTTTATTCTAAATTAAAAGCATGACTTTTCCCAAGTAGACTGTGTAATCATTCATTCACTTGTTTATTCCATAAAAATTTATTTGAAATAATAGTAATTATCATTGCCAGATAATATGCTAAGTGCTTTATACAAATTATTTAATCCTTACAAAAGTAGTATGTATGAGATCTGTAATGGTATTATCTCTATTTTATAAATTAAGAAATTTAGGTTTGAAGAATCAAGGTCACCATGATGTTCACCACTGGTCTGATTCCAAAGGTGGTACTCTTAGCCAGTACACTCTGGGCATACCAGATACTATGGAGATATAAGTTGAAGCAGACAGACCCTCTGACTCAGTTAATAGTTATATCAGCATAGATTAGACAAATTAGCAAACCTGAATAAATGATGAAATCTGACAAACATCCTATAAAAAGTGCAAAGACCCATGAAATTTCAGAAATAGGTATACTTTTTTTCAAGTTTGAGTTAATTGGGAAATAGCTTTTGGAAAGGTCAAAGGAACTGAGCTTTGAAGAATAAAAAAAATCCTAGGCAGAATCAGGTGAAAGGATATTCCAGGGCCAAGTGCAACCCAGGAGAGATGCAACCCACATCTGCCAGACTACTAAACTATGGAAGACCCAGATTAGAATAAACCATCAGGGATTTAAGACAACATTATAACAAAGTTTCAGATAAGATCTTTGGGCTTTATTCAGTTTTATTCATAATCCATCCCGTCAATGCTCCTCTAATCTACTTTTAAATCTTCTTGGGGCTGGGGATGTGGCTCAAGCGGTAGCGCGCTCGCCTGCCATGCGTGCAGCCCGGGTTCGATCCTCGCACCACAAAGATGTTATGTCCGCCAATAAGTAAAAAATAAATATTAAAAATTCTCTCTCTCTCTCCTCTCTCTTTAAAAAAAAACTCATAATATTAAAAAAAATCTTCTATCTTCCAACATCAAGCCTGGGAATCACGTTCACCACTCTCCAATTACCTTGTTATCCTCTCACTTATGTAACCCAACTCTATCCTCTTGTTATGATTCGGATCTAAGGTGTCACCCAAAAGCTCATGTGTGAGATAATGTAAGGTTTGGAGGAGAAATTATTGGGTTATAGCCTTAACCTAAACAGTGTGTTAATCCCTGATGGGATTAACTGGGTGGTGACTGGAGGGAGGTGGGGTGTGGCTGGAGAAAATGATACATTTGGGGAGTGGCTATGAGGTATATATTTTGTATCTGGAGCATGGTGTCTCTCTCTGCTTCCTCATCAACATGTGAGCTGCTTCCCTCTGCCACTCTTCCGCCATGCTATTCTGCCTTACCTTGAGCCAGGAGGAATGGAGCCGGCCTTCTATGGACTAAGACCACTGAAACCGTGAGCCCTCAAAAAATCTTTTCTTCCTCTACAGTTGTTCTTGTCACATCTTTTAGCCAAAGCAGCAAAGAAGATAAAACACCTCTGATCTACATTTGTCTCCATCTCTTAGTCCACTAAAATCCTTTGCAAAATCAATACAACTCCTTAGATTCTGAATGTTTTCCTTGGACACTTCCTCCATCTTAAGTTAACTCAATCCAATTTTTTTTTAATCAACCCACATAACTTTTTATAAACCCAGGAATAGAAATTAACAATATCCTTCCCCCACTACTACTACTTCCAATTAACATTCTAATTTTATTACAATAACTCTTCCATGGGGCTGGAGATATAGCTCAGATGGTAGAGTGCTTGCCTTGCATGTACAATACCCAGCACCACAAAATAAAAAATAAAAATAAATAATAATTCTTCCTTTTAAATGCCCATAAATTTATCCATGCATGTATAATATGTCAAAATACACTCTACTGTCATGTATATCTAAAATGAATACATTTTTAAAAAGAAAAAAATTCCCATAAATTTGAAAGGCAGGGGAGAAGGGGAATGGGAAGTTCAATAAGAGGGCCCAAATCACAGAGCAGAGGGATTAGTTCTGGTTTTTCTATAGCACAGGGGGATAACTATTGATTACAACAATCTATATTCCAAAATGACTAGAAGAGTATGATATACCTATCACAAAAAAAATCAAGTTTGAATAGACAGAAATGCTGATTTGATAATTATATATCATATACAGGTACTAAATTACCATATGTGCCCCATAAAGATGTATAAAATGTCTCCAAAAATTAAAATAAATAAAATCCCCATAAATTGGATATATTCCCTCACCCATACTGTGACTGACATTTGCAAACTCAAGATCTTCACTAATGTTCCTAGAATACTAAAATATATGGTTCATAGTTTTCCACTTTGTCATTAAAATCTACTGTCATCCTCAAACACTAACATATCCCTGAATGAAACAATGGACTCATCTCTATTTACTCCAATAACTTCTATATATCCCCATTCCATGATTATACATTCACGAGTAGACTTAAGGAAAACAGAATCTCAGATGTGAACCTCTCATTATACAACATTCTATCCTTTGGTCCATGAATTCCTGACTCTCACTGAACCCATTCTTTGCACCCACATCCTGTCATAACTTTTAACCTTAAGTAAAATTAAACTTCATCCCCCCCCCAAATTCTTGCTCCTGTACTGCTTAGCATTATTGAAGTCACATAGTTGTAGCAACTATAAACTCACACTTAAAGACTTCAAAATGATTTGATAATTATTTTATTCATCCCAACTGACCTCCTATTCTGAGTTTCTAAAACTATTTTAAAAGTTATTCTTTCTCAAAAGATATCTTGTAGATGCCATGACTGCAATATCCTTAACGTCTCAAACTGTATCTATCTTTATGAATCCTTGCTCCTTTTACTATATCTCACCAACCTGTTATTTTACTATTCTATTTCTTCTAGACCTTCACTGCATCAATTATCTCCTACCTGATGTATCTTTAATCTTTCCCTCACCAGCTACCTCTTTCCCACTCCCTATCAACATAATTAAAATCTATAATATTCTTCAAAAAAGAATCTTTCACCTAATTTCTATTCAAGCTTGTTCTAGAAGTCTTTCCTTCCCACCTACTTACTGCTTTGGTATGCTGCAGTTATCAGTTACATGAATTAGAAGTACTTATTTTGTGTTTAGCCTAAACCAGCTGGAATTTGGTTTCTGCTACTACTTGGAACTGAAAGAGTTCTAAGCAATACACTAGAAGAACCTAAGAGTTCTTCCTTTTTTTAGGAGAAACAAGTTCAGCCAAGCCTATTACAATCTTATAGACAAAACTTCAAAATTTGTGTCTTCTTTTATCTCTACTGTCATGCTTCTACCTACTCTTCCTATGTTATTTATCAAATATCTCTTTCTTAGCTGGGCAGGGTGACCCACATCTGGAATGTCAGCTACTCAAGCAGGCAAGGCAGGAGGATCACAAGTTAAAAGCCAGCCTGGGCAATTTAAGGAGACCTACCTCAAAATACATAAAACAAAAAGGGTTGGGGTTGTAGCTCAGTGGTAGAGCACTGGCCTCACATGTGCAAAACCTTGAGTTCAATCCATATTACAGCAACAAAAAAAAATTAAAATTAAGGGGCTGGGGTTATAGCTCAGTGGTAGAACACTTGCTTTTCACATGTGAGGCACTGGGTTCAATCTTTAGCACCACATAAAAATAAATAAAGAAAGATATTGTGTCCATCTTTTTAAAAAATCTTTTAAAAATTAAAATTAAGAACTCCTCTTTCTGTGAATTTATGAATTGTGATGACCAGAAAACATCACTTTATTTCCGTTCCAGTTAGCAATAAATCCTCATGAAGCAGCAGCTACATATATATAACCATTACACAGAATCTCTTTCAACCAACTGAGCACATTTTATTCCTGAGAATTTATATGGGAAAATTAAAACACATCATTAGGAAAAGCAGCAGTGTTCTTTAAAATTAATGTTCACATTGTAAACTAGATATATGCGGGAGAACAGTTAGGTAACATTAGATTCGGAAACGGTTCCTATACAATACTTTTCAGAAAGAAGAGCTGCAAAATAGAAATCGTTAAAAAAAAAAATCTAGAGGTATAACATAAATATCAATGTATTTTACAAAGATTAGCAGTTTAATTCTCAAAGTTGATTTCCCACAACTACTTTCATCAAAATAACTATAATAAATCAATCTAAGTATAATCAGGTAAAAAGGAACAGAATTTGATGGACAACAAAGCTACTATTTTGCTCTACCTCACAAATGCAATAAACCAAGATGAAATGCATTTATTAAAAAAAAAGCTTTAAACTAAGTATGACTATACCTAAAGTTCTGTTAAGAAACACAAAATGACACCAAATAAACACTTCATTTTTCTAATGTGTTGGTTTTACTTGATGACTTCAGGGGGTGAGATATTAAAAAATATTGATCTATTGGAGGCATATATGCAATATAAACCTACAGTTACATCAGACATATTCTTTCAAAGGTAAAGATTAACATCCCTAAAATACACAAAAAGTGGTAAACATTAACTGTATATGAAAAGAGACCTCAGAGTTTTAACAGTCTAAGCAAAGTCCTCTAAGATCCCCATTCACTCTCCTTTGCACCCAAAAAACAGTTTGAAATGCTCAGACACAAGGTTCTCCTACATAAATTTGTAATGGTTAACGTCAGATCTACAAAACTAAATGGTACAATAATAAACTTTAAAATGAAGTAATTGGGTCATAAGATGTTAGTTTATGTACTAGACTGTGTGCTACTATACTACTCTCCTAAATCTACCCGACTTAACACAAGGATTTGAGGTACCCTTAATGGATGACATGTTTGACAAAAATGTGTGTTGACTGGAGCTCTACTTCACATCTTAAAAACGATTTTGTATTACCACAATTTAACCAAAAAAAAAAAAAACTTAAAATAGTTATTTAAACCTTAAAGCAATTTCAAAATCAAAAATACTGTAAGTGGGGCTGAGTTTGTGGCTCGGTGGTAGAGCACTCGCCTAGCAAGTAGGAGACACTGGGTTTGATCCTCAGCAATGTATAAAAATAACTAAATAAAATAAAGATATTGTGTTCATCTACAACTTAAAAAAAAAATACAGTGAGATGAAAACACTAGTGCCAGTGAGGCACTGTATGCTTGTGATTTCAGCTATTCGGGAGGCTGAGGCAGGAGGATCCCAAGCTCAAAGCCAGGCTTAGAAACTTTTGGAGACCCAGTCTCAAAATAAAGAGTAGCCGGGGATGTAGCTGATTGGTACAGGCACCCCAGGTTCAATCCCAGTATATATATATATATACACACACACACACACACACACACAGCTGGGCTTCAGATCTTTTGTTTGATCACTTTTGGGAAAAGCAGGAGGCTGGAAAAGAAAAAGGCTATTAAGCAAACCTATTCATAAGAATCAGATACAATAAGGCATTTATTTGAGGATCGAAGTGGCAATTATCAAGCCCCGCCTTTCCTTCTGTGCCAGCGGGGAGAAGGGAGTCGAGGTAAAAAAAAAAAAGCAAGAATCAAAGGAATTGAGCAAAGTGGTGCTGAGAAGCTGGAAATGAAACTGGCACATTGGTGGAATTACGAGGAAGGCGTGGCAGGGGAGCAGCAAGCCAACCGGGGAGATCCGTGGGCCGTGAGACTCCAGGAGAGTGTTCGCAGGAGAAGGGGGAAAAAAAATCAAAGGGTGTTGCAGCGAAGAGCCTCCACGGCTGGGATGACAGCTCGGACTGAGTGTCTGACTCGAGGGGCGGGAGCCACTCCGGAGCCTTCCATTGTGCGCGCCCCCGCCTCGCCCTCCCTCTCACCTCAAAGCTCGGGGCCGCAACACAACACCCGTCACCTCCTAGGTAGAAGACAGTATGTTCAACCCTCTTCCAGCCCTTTCTCACCAGATGAAGATCGCCGTCGCCCGAGCTTCCTCTTGTCCATCTTCTCTTCCTACTGGACTCGCAGTTGCAAGCGCTGTCACCTCAAGACCCCTCCGGCTTGGGGGAGGGGCAGTGGAGACAGAAAGCCAGGAAAGTGAGGACCGCGCTTGCGCAAGAGCCCTCGCCAGTCCTCCAACCGGAAATTGGCCGCCCCTCCCGCCTCAGCCCGGAAATCGCTTCCTGGGTCTTGTTTTCTTTGCGGGCTTCCCTGTCTAATGGTTATTTACTGATGCATATTTCATAATATCAACACCTAAGTGAAAGTAAGTCTGGCTGCGCAGTTTTAGCCTGGGGTCTTCAAAAGGCTTTGTTAACTTTGAAAATTAAGTGGACAGATGTTAAAGGGGGAAACGTGAGGAATTCCTCCTAACTTTACTGGATCTTGTGAGATGGTCCCAGAAATATGAAACTGAACCTTCACCCTTGGCTGTATTATTTTCATTCCCAGCATAGCTTTGTCTTCAAGGAGCATTCTGAAACTCAGAAACAAAACGATGTTAAGACTGTCAAGCATGGTGGTGGCGCATTCCTGTACTGCCAGCCCTCTGGGAGGCAGAGACAGGAGGATGACAAGTTTGAAGCCAGTGAGACAGGCCAACTTAGTGAGACCCCATCTCAGAATAAAATTAAACAAGAAAGCAGGGGCACTGGGGATGTATCTCAGAGGTACAGTGCCCCTGGTTTTAATCCCCAGTACCACAAAAAAGAAAGGGAGGTGGGAAATTTTAGGATGGCAAAACCACTGTTCAACAACATAGTTAATAATTGGCATTGGAGTGAAAATACGCAGAATAGGTTAGCAGTAATAGATATAGTAATTGGTATCTGTATTAAAATTCTTTTTTACAGGCCCAAGAAACAAGAGCTAGATCTCAACTTTTTTTAAACAAAATACTGAGATGACAACAAGGTTGGGGGGTATTATCTGGAATGCTCTCTACAAATACTTATTATGGAATTTAAGGGCCCTGTCCTCAAGGAACCCAACCTCTGGTAGTTTCAGCCTGCAACTTTTGAAATCCTTTGGAAATAACTTGTCAGTGTAAAAATTTGTCCTATACTATTAACCATAGTGTACATACTTGAATAATTTTAAAATAAATGTGTAAGCTTTAGTGATGGTTTATGAGGTTTATGATTTAATCACATTAACAAAATTCAGCCAAATGCTCTAATTAGGCAAAATGATTATGGAATGTCCCAAGCCAGAAGAGACTCGGGAAATACTTGAGTTTAACACTCATCCCCCATCTTTACCAAAGTCAGTAAAGAGGGTAGCTCAAAAAGCATTAGGAATGAGGTGTAGGTAAGCCCCTCAGGTGCCTTGAGGTTTGGGGCTTTGGTGCCATGAGTGACTGAAGGCAGGTATATTTCTGGACTTAATGAAAATGAAATTCATTATAAGGATTTCATTTAGACCCTGGTTTATTTCTGTATATAAAAAAAAAAAAACATTGCTTATGTGATTGGGAGTATAGTTCAGTGATAGAGAGCTTGCCTAACTTGCCTGAGTTCTATCCCTGACTGGAGAGAGGGCACGTTTGCTGTAAAATAACTGAATTTTAAGTTTTCTCAAACTGCCTTAATTCATCAGCCAAAATTATGGGAAATAACTGAATTGCAAAAGATGGAACTAGAGCTAAGAGATGAAAACATAAAAAAATAAAAGTAGGAGTAATTCATTTCTGTCAAGCTAATAGGTTCCATAAAGTGATTCTACAGTTTCAGCAGTAATAAGTTGATTTAAGAGAAATGAATTTATAAGAAGTTAATCAAATTATTCATATTTCAATTATACATACCATTGCACTGAATATAGCATTTCAGTTTGATGAGAGTGAACCAGTTATTTCTAATTGTAGTTTATTTTATATATTTTTTTTCTGGTACTAGGGATTTAACCTAGAGGCACTTTACTAGTGAACTACATCCCCCAGCCTTGTTTTTTTGTTTGTTTTGGGACAGATTTTTGCTACTTTGCTTAGGACCTTTCTAAGTTGCTGAGGCTGGTCTGGAACTTGCAATCCGCCTGCCTCTGCCTCTCCAGTCACTGGGATTACAGGCATGCACCACCATGCCCTACAACTCTATGTTTTTTTAATAGAGTAGAATATACAAAAGAGCCTTTTTCTTAAATATAGCAAAGGATTATAACTACTACAGAATAGTATCACTGTATAACAGGATTGGTCTTTAACTTCTCAGGTTATAAGATTATTTTTCAGACTTTCTAATGATCTGTGAAAATGTAAAATATTGTTAAATACAAATATTTTATCATCCTAAAGAGGAAAGGTATTCCTTGAAAATAAAAATGGGCTAATTATTTGTATCTTTGATTCTAGTGCATCACTCACCCTCTTCTTAAAGATAATTACAAGTAATCTTGAGTAGTCAAATTCAGAGACAAGAGTACATTGGTGGTTGCCACTGTACTAAACATAGACTTTTTTTTCTAGACAGTAATCCTAAAACAATCAGTATGAACTATTTATACCACTTTTACATTGTATTAGATAAAAATAAGTAATTTAAAGTATAAGGGAAAGAGCCAGGCACAGTGGCACCCGCCTGTAATCCCAGCAGCTCCAGAGGCAGAGGCAGGAGGATCATGTGTTCAAAGCCAGCCTCAGCAATTTAGCAAAGCCCTAAGCAATTCAGTGAAACCCTGTCTCTAAATAAAATATAAAAAGAGGGCTGGGGACATGGCTCACACACAAAGAAGCAGTAAATTGCTGGGTACGTTGGCACATGCCTGTAATCCCCCGCAGTTTGGGAGGCTGAGGCAGGAGGATCGAAAGTTCATAAGCCAGCCTAAGCAAGTTAGCAAAACTGTCTCAGAAAAAGAGGGGGAGGGGGCTGGGCATGTGGCTCAGTGGTTGAGTTCCCCAGGGTTCAATCCCCAGTACCAAAAAAAAAAAAAAAAAGAAAGAAAGAAAAGACAAAAAAAAAAAAGCAGTAGGTGAAGAGAAATCTCTTTCTCTTCTCTCTCTTTTCTGTCAAGAGGACATATATTCTCCTTTATTCCAGTCAACTCTAGACTCCTATCAGCCAGAGGAAATCTACAAACAAACCTACTGCCTTAATTTCTTCCAAAATATATATGGGGGGCGGGACTGGGGACAACTCAGGGGCACTTGACCACTGAGCCACATCCCCAGCCCTGTTTTGTATTTTATTTATAAATAGAGTCTCACTGAGTTGCTTAGCGCCTCACTATTGGTGAGGCTGGCTTTGAACTTGTGATCCTCCAACCTCAGCCTCCTGAGCTGCTGGTATTACAGGTGTGTACCACCATGCCTAGCAACTTTATATTCCCATATTTTTTCCACCTTTGGAAACTTAAAATCCTCTCCTTTATCCTTTCATTTCTTCACAAATATGTTGTTCTTTGTAGATGATACTTACAAGCCAGAGTTCTAAGCCATTATTTTGAATTATTTTTGTAGGGTCTTCTCCCATGTGGTGTGTGCTTCAAGCATTAATTAATTTGTTTGTTTTTCTTTTATTCCTCTTTCTTGTTACAGAGGTCCATCGCAACAAAGAACTTACATTGTAAAGGCAAAAAATATTTTTCTCCCTTACACTACCATATTCAAGCATATTCTTTAGGAAGCTAAGCATAAAAACAGTTTCTCTTCCTCCTGTCTTAATAAGCTATTTTGATTTGCTTGAGCAAGATGGACTTTTTCTTTTTTCTTTTTCTTTTATTTATTTATTTATTTATTTAATTATTTATTTATTTATTTTGGCAATGCTGGAGATTGATCCCAGAACCATATCCATGCTAAGCATGCACTCTACTGGAGCTATACCTCCAGTTCCCAGAGATGGATAATTTTGATTCATAAAAGAAAAAGCATATATACAGATAGATGTTGACAAGACCATAAAAAATCTCCAAAGATTAATGAATGTATTTGGGAATAACATTGCAATTGGAATACCTGTGCCATAGTAAACTATTTGCATATTCAAGAAAGTTGGGGCAAAGGGAACTTTTTAAAGACAAAATGAGAAGGAGTAGATAAGTTATTTTGAAATAATAATCAGTAGTTACAAGGATCAGTAACAACAGTGGCATCCATCCAAAGTTGGACAGACATCCTTACAAAAGTATTTTCTGTGTAAGGTTGTGGTGGCCTTTGTGTAAGATAGTGGTTCTAGCTGGCTTTTGTGATAGTTCTTGTTTTAGGCACATGTACATGAAAAGTCCTCCTTCATAAACTCCCAGATTTGTTTTTTGTTGTTGTTGTTGTTGTTAGTCTGACTAAAATGACTCCATTTTGATTCTGACAACTTTCACAATATGTAGGATATTTTGTAAAATTAATTATTTGACACTTATTAACTTTAGGATTATAAAGGTAGCTTCTACAACTTATCAAAAGAGTCATGTGCATCTTTCATGTATATAGCTAAATAACTTTCGAAGTGCTCTTTACTTTCTCACATCCTTGAAAAAATCCTTACAATTCTAATAATATTTAAGTGCCTACTATGTACCGAGTACTATTCCAAGAACTAGAGATATAGTGGTGAATTAAATAAAGTCCCTATCTCTGCTGTAATGGAACTTACATTCTAATAGGAGGACGTAGACAATACACAAATATATGTTATTGTAGTTAGTACTAAAACAATAAATGAAGGAAGAAAGGAAAGGATTGCCCTTTTTCTCCTTCACTTTTGTTAATCTTCAGCTCTTTTTTAACCCATTGGTGTATTGTAGTTGTACATAATGATGGAATTTGTTGTTAACTATTCCTGCATGCACACAATACTACAAATATCTTTCACCAGTATTTCCCCTTTCCTTCCCTTCCTCCTTCCCTGTGTTTCCTTTCCTCTAGTCTATGATCCCCTTTTGATTTTCATGAGACACCTTCCCACCCCCACATTTGTTTTCCTTTTTTATCTCTAGCTTCCACATATGAGAGAAAACATACAACCTTCTGAGCTTGGCTAATTTTGCTAGTTCCACCCATTTTCTAGCAAATGACAAAATTTCATTCTTATTTATGGCTGAATAAAAACTCCATTGTGTATATATACCATATTTACTTTATCTATTCATTCATT